ATCCCTTCGCCTCAGCAGCTTCGTGAGTGGTACGCTGGGCGTCAGAGGGGTGGGGGTACTGGTCCCTGCACCTACGTTCTTCGTTCCGGCGACCGCGCGGGTGAGCAGTGTGGGGGTGCCCACGCGACCCAGCGCTGCTTTGGCCGCCTGACAGACGCCTGGCGTCAGCAGTTCCCTGGGGCTAGTGAGATCCCTCGCTGGGATGAGCTTCTCAGGGCTGGTGTAGCGATCTTTGATCTTGATTTTGATGCTATCCTTACTGCTATGTATGTTGTAGATTATAGTGAGGAGAATGAGGGTTACCGCTGTTTCCAGCCCGACCCGGGCATTGGTCCTGCTGCGCTAGGTGCTTGTGAGGCTGCTGCTCTAGGTGCCAGTGCGTCTGCGCTCTCAGGTACTGGTGAGACTGCGCTCTCAGGTACTGAGTCGTCCTCGTCCTCCCTCACTTTCACACTTGACTCCGGAGCTTCTCGCTCCTTCTTTCGAGACCGCACTACCCTTACGCCGCTTGGCCGGCCGGTTGCGGTCTCCCTTGCTGACCCCTCTGGGGGTCCTGTCCTGTCTCACTTCTCCACTGTCCTCCCATGTCCGGCTGCCCCTTCGGGCACCCTGTCGGGTCTGTACCTTCCCTCGTTCTCTACGAACTTGCAGACCTGCAGGATGGGGGTGTTCACCAGTTCACTCCTGCGAGTCAGCGGGTGACCCACTGCACGGAGGCACGCACAGGCCGACACCTGGCCACGTTCTCGCGTCGGCCGGGGTCGAGTCTCTACACCCTGACCGTTGAGTCTCCTCCTGTCCCTGCGTCTGGTCAGGTGGCTGCGTCGGGTCAGGTACTTGCTGCTGCGTCCAGGTCAGGTCCTGAGTCTGCCCCCTGTTCTTGTCGCCTCCTGTCTCACGAGACTCTCCTGTGGCACCACCGTCTTGGCCACCCCTCCTTGCCCCGTCTTCGGAGCATGGCTTCCCGTGTCCTTGTCTCTGGTCTTCCCCAGTCTCTCCCTCCTCTCCCCTCCGGGCCAGGACCTTCCTCTGTCCCCTGTGTCGAGGGTCGCCTCCGGGCTACTCCTCACTCCTCCCACTTCCCCCCGACAGAGGCTCCCCTGCAGACGCTTCACATGGATGTGTGGGGCCCAGCCCCCGTCCGTGGGCAGGGTTACGAGCGCTACTTCCTGTTGGTGGTTGACGACTACTCGCGTTACACCACAGTCCTCCCCTTGCGCAGCAAGGGTGCGGTCACTGAGGTGCTGATCGACTGGATCCGCGAGGCTCGTCTCCAGCTCAGGAAGAGCTTCGGCTCGGACTTTCCTGTTCTGCGTCTGCACTCTGACCAAGGCGGAGAGTTCTCTTCTCGCCTTCTGCGAGACTACTGTCGTGCACGGGGGATCCGCCAGACCTTCACGCTTCCGGACTCACCACAGCAAAATGGGATTGCTGAGCGCCGCATTGGCATGGTCATGGATGTCGCTCGTACGTCCATGATGCATGCGGCTGCCCCCCATTTTCTGTGGCCGTTTGCGGTGAGGTACGCGGCGCATCAGCTCAACCTTCACCCCCGGGTCTCTCGGCCTGCGATGTCCCCAGCCTTGCTGTGGACGGGGAAGGTTGGCGATGCGTCTGTGTTCCGTGTCTGGGGATCTCGGGCGTTTGTCCTCGACTTGTCTGCGGACAAGCTGTCCCCTCGTGCTGCTCCCTGTGTCTTCCTTGGCTTCCCCACTGACGCCCTAGGGTGGCAGTTTTACCACCCCTCCTCTCGTCGTGTTCTGTCCTCCCAGGACGTCACGTTCGACGAGTCAGTCCCCTTCTACCGTCTCTTCCCCTACCGCACTCCTTCCCTCCCCCCTCCCCCGGACTTCCTTGTGCCGGTTCCCCCCCCGGTAGACCCCCTCCCCCCTCAGGTTCCTGTCCCCTCAGGTGTGTCCCAGGTAGACGCCGTTGACCCGGTCGAGGTTACTGGTGACTCTGGTGCTGCTGCGGGTGCTGAGCCTGGGGGTGCTGACTCTGGGGGTGCTGTGCGCGGGGGTGCTGAGCCTGGGGGTGCTACTGCTGGGGGTGCTGGGCCTGAGGGTGCTACTGCGGAGGGTGCGGAGCCTGGGGGTGCTGAGCCGGGGGGTGCTGTGCCTGGAGGTGCTGGGTCTGGGGGTGCTGGGTCGGGAGCTGCTGAGCCTGGGGGTGCTGAGCTGGGAGCTGCTGCGCCTGGGGGTGCTGCGTCTGGAGCTGCTAAGCCTGGGGTTTCTCCTGCTGCTGCGTCTCGCCGGGAGCCCCTCTCTCCACAGGAGCTGCGCGAGTGGTTCGCTCGCCGCTGGAGGCGTGCTGCTGAGTCTGGAGGTGCTGCTGGAGCTGGGGCTGGAGCTTCTTCAACCGTCGAGGGTGCGGGTGCTGCCAGTCCCGGAGCTGCTGGACCTGCGGGTCCTCCTGGAGCTGGAGCTGCTGAGGGCGTTGGTGCTGGGCCTACTGCTGTTGGTCCTTCCGCTGGAGGTGTGGGTGGCGCTGGTGCTGTCGCTGAGGGTGCTGGTGCTGTTCCTGCTGAGTGTGGAGCTGCCGCGCGGCCTCGGCCGTACTTCGTTCCGCTCCTGCAGCAGGTTCTTGGTCTTTCTCCTCCAGTAGAGGGTCCACCGCCTGTCCAGTCGCAGTCCCTGCTGGAGCCTTCCTCTCCACTGCCTGCTCCCTCTCCTTACACTGGTCCTACTGGAGGTCTTGCTGAGCGTTGTGAGCCTGCGTCTCGTCCCGCGTCGCCTGTTCGTGCTGCTCGCGCTAGTGGTCGCAGTTCGCGTCAGTGTCCTCCTCCTGTCCCTGGCACGCACCGGATGTCTTTACGTCCGTCCACTGCTCCTCTGCGTGCCCCTTTGCCTTCTCCTCCTGAGTCCTCTCTTCCTGCGCTTGTCGACCCTGAGTCGGACTCTCTTCGCGCTGCCAGTCCTACTGTCACGCGTCTGCTTGCTACTGTCGTCACTGACCCCTCTTTTGAGTCCACTGCTGCGTCTGCTCTAGTCGCTGAGCTCGTTGACTTTGCTGCTCGCTGTCGTCTCGACTACGCTGCTAGTCTTGTTGCTGAGTCTGCGTCTGTCTGTCCTCCGTCCGTCGGGGGTGAGTGTGCTCTTGGCACGGACGTCCTAGAGGACAGGCAGGAGGAGTTACAGTGTCTAGCGGCTGCTTCACCTCATCTCGCGTCTGTACTGCTTACCCCTGAGGGAGACCCGGATGACCTAGACATCCCGACTCCGCGTTCTTACGCGGAGGCCGTAGAGGGTCCCTACTCCTCTCAGTGGCACTTCCCTGCCGCCGTTCTACATCCTCGTGTACGTCGACGACTTGGTCTTTGCCACAGCGGACACTGCTGGACTCGCCTACGTGAAGTCCGAGCTGCTGAAGAGACACACGTGCACAGACCTGGGTGAACTGCGCAGCTACCTTGGCTTGCAGATCACTCGGGACAGAGCACGCCGCACCATTACCTTGACTCAGTCACACATGGTGCAGCAGGTCCTTCAGCGCTTCGGCTTCACGTACTCCTCGCCTCAGGCCACTCCTCTGCCTACTCGCCACTCACTCTCAGCTCTGCCTTCGGGTGAGTCCGTAGAGTCGAGTGGTCCGTATGCAGAGCTTGTTGGCTGCCTCATGTACCTGATGACCTGCACACGACCTGACCTTGCATACCCTCTGAGCATTCTTGCACGCTATGTTGCTCCTGGGAGACACAGACCGGAGCACATGGCTGCAGCGAAGAGGGTATTGCGCTACCTGTGCAGTACGTCGGGCATGGGGCTAGTGCTTGGAGGGCGGAGTCCAGTGGTCCTTACCGGCCACGCGGACGCTTCTTGGGCTGACGACCAGGCTACGCAGCGGTCGTCACAGGGTTACACCTTCAGTCTTGGTTCCGGCTCTGTCTCGTGGCGGTCTACTCGCTCGTCTTCGGTTCTCGGCTCCAGTTGTGAGGCTGAGATCTACGCTGGGGCCATGGCTGCACAGGAGCTTCGCTAACTCACCTACCTGCTGACTGACCTTGGAGAGCCGCCTCGTTCTCATCCAGTGCTGTACGTAGACAACAAGGCCATGCTGGCCTTGTGTCGAGAGCAGCGCTTGGAGCACAGAACGAAGCACATTGCTCTCCGCTACTTCCTTGCTCGTAAGCTGCAGCAGCGTGGTCAGTTGCGACTTGCGTACGTGGCCTCTGAGGCCAACACTGCAGATGTGTTCACCAAGGCACTCGCGCCTTGTGACCATCAGCGCTTTTGCACGCAGCTGGGTCTTGTGCCTGTCTTGCCTCACTTGCTCTCCTCTTGACTTCACTTGTACTGTGACATATATATATGCCTGCTCTTGCTTGTCTAGTTTTATATATATGTCTGTACTCCTGCATGTGAACTGGCCTCTGGCCCTACTCTTGTGCTCGGACTGTGTGGTGACTTTGTGATCCACCCTGAGCTTGCTTTGCTTTGCTTGACTGGTCTTGTGACCCCTTGTTCTCCCCCACTTTGCCTATGGGGGTGTGTCAGATTTATATGACATAGTTGCTGTAGGCTATAGTGGGGTAGCACATATGGGGTACAGGTTTTCTAGGGTTGTATTTGTACCCAATCTTTCCTTAGTCATTTCATTCCTGTTTTCTTTACTTCACACGGCGCGCTGTCGCCCCTCGACGCAGGGGACACAGGTAGGGCCAGGTCCCAGAGGAAGGGGAGGGAGAGACTGAGGGAGACCAAAGACAAGGACACGGGATGCCATGCCTCGGAGACGACGCAAGGAGGGGTGACCAAGGCGGTGGTGCCAAAGGAGAGTCTGGTGGGACAGTAGACGACACGAGCAGGGAGCAGACTCAGGAACAGACCTGGACGCCGCAGCAAACACCTGACTCGACGCAGCTACCTGGGCAGACTTAGTAGCAGGAGGAGACTCAGTAGTAAGGGTGTACAGGCTCGACCCTGGCCGCATGTGAACGTGGCCAAGTGTCGGCCTGTCCGAGCACACGTGCAGTGGGTCACTCGTTGACTCGCAGGAGTGAACTAATCAACTCCCCTATCCTGTAGGTCCGCTCCACTCTCCAAGTTTGTAGAGAACGAGGGGAGGTAGAGACCAGACAGAGTGCCAAAGGGGGCTGCCGGGCACGGTAGGACAGTGGAGAAGCTAGCAAGGACAGGACCCCCAGAGGGGTCGGCCACGGAGACTGCAACCGGCCGACTTAGCGGCGTAAGAGTGGTGCGGTCTCGAAAGAAAGAGCGGGACGCACCCGAGTCCAGGGTGAAGGTGTGGAAGGCCTGAGCCGACGTAGTACCTGAGAGAGCAGACTCACCAGCACCTGGGGCAGCAGACGCGCTGGCACCTAGGGCAGCAGACGCACTAGCACCTAGAGCAGCAGCCTCACCATCACCTAGAGCAGCGACGTCAATGCCCAGGTCAGGCGGTACACACAGGTAACAGTCATCCGCAATACTAGTATCAACAGCATACATGGCAGCAAGAATAGCTTCAAAGTCAAGATCAAAGATAGCAACCCCGGCCTTAGTCAGATCTCCCCTGCAAGGGATCTCTGACGCCTCTGGAAACTGGCGACGCCAAGCGTCCGTCACGCGACCAAAGCAGCGCTGGGTGGAGTGCGGGCCTCCACACTGCTCACCAGCGCGGTCGCCGGTACGGAGGACGTAAGCGCAAGGACCAAAACCCCCACTGCGCTGACACGAAGTGTACCACTCACGAAGCTGCTGAAGGGACAGGGTCATACCACTTCGCTGCTGCTGGCGCGGACCACCACCTGAGCCACTCCTCTGCGCAGAGTCGTGACCCGCTCCACCACCGCCGGCGCCGTCGCCGCCGCCTCCGCCGCCTCCTCCACCTCCGCCTCCTTCGCCACCTCCGCCGCCTCCGCTCCCTCCGCCACCTCCACCGCCTCCGCCTCCTCCACTGCTGCCGCCGCCACCGCCACCCCTGGCACCACTCCCACCACCACCCCCACTCCCTCCACTGCCTCCACCACCACCTCCACCGCCCCCTCCAGCCCCTCTAGTGCCCTTGCCCCCCTTGCCCCTGCCAGTGCAGCGTTTCCCGCTCGGGGCAAGCGCAGCGCCGACCGACTCCAAACCAACGAGGTCGGCCGCAGCAGCAGAGGCAACAGAGGGCAAGACGGGGGAGGGAGAACACCCCTCAAAGACGGGGGTGCGAGGGTCACCACGAGAGGCTCCTACAACGACTATGCTCTTCTCTATCGCTAGGAGGGCCTTCTCGAGGAGGTCAACGGTGAGAGTGGTGGGGCAAATTGAGAGGAAGTGGTCCCTGACTACGCGGAGAGAGTCAGGGAGCCAGATGACTATGTAGTAGAGGGTGATGTACATGGGTGGAGGGTTCTTGGCGCAGAACTAAGCAGGAAGCGCAGCGCGGTAGCGAGTGTCACTAGTGCGGAGGTGCGTAATGAGGTCAGCGTTTGTGGGAAAGGCAGCAAGGTCAGGGAAGATGTACGGTAGCATGAGGCGGCTCAGTGCAGCAGTGGCAGGGGAAGAGTAGCGTGCAACTACAGCGTCGTACAAGGTCTGAGCACCCTTGTACTGGCTAAAGTGTGCACGCTAAGTGGTCGGTAAGTGGCGGCGCACAGCAAGGCGTGGAGCAGCATCGCGCGTGGCCCACTGTGAGCGAACAGTGGCGTCAGCATTAGCAGCAGGGGCATGAGAGGCACCAGAAGTGAGGTGAAATAGGGAGAGGCCGTCTGCCCTATCGCACTGGAGAAACAGGTGGAGGTCATCGACCCAGACCTCAAAGTCAACGGCACGGCCCTTAGCATGAAAAGTGAGGACACTGGGGGTAGCCATGACTGCAGTGGCCTAGGAGGAAGTGAGCTCACTAGTCCTAGGAAGGAGGGGCCGGGGAGCACCGGTAGGAACAGCAGCTGCTACACGGTAGGGCGGCTTGGCGGCTCGGCGGCTCGACGGCAGGGCGGCTCGGCTGCAGGGTTGCTCGGCTGCTGGGCGGCTCGGCGGCAGGGCGGCTCGGCTGCCGGGCGGGTCGGCTGCTCAGCGGCTCGGCTGCGGGGCGGCTCGGCTGCTGGGCGGCTTGGCTGCTCGGTAGGCGGGTGGTTCGGCTGCTGTGCTCCTCGGCGGCTCGGTCGCTGGGCGGCGGAGCGGTGATGGGGCCGCTAGGGTAGGGCGACGGGGCCGCGGGTGACGGCGAGGGGGCCGTAGGTGGCGGTGACGAGGCTGCAGGTGGCGGTGGGGCCGCAGGTGGCAGCGGGGCCGTAGGTGGCGGCGGGGCCGCAGAGGGGCCGAGACGGGGCCGAAAGGGGCCTAAGCGGGGCTGAAAGGGGCCTAGCCGGGGCCGAAAGGGGCCGAGAAGGGCGGCCAGTCTACGATTTCCGCCAGGCACCGCGTGAGTGGCACGACACACTGAGGACTACACTTGCGGCTCTTGGGTTTGCTCCCTCTACTGCCGACCCGTCGCTGTTTCTGCGCACCGACACCTCTTTGCCGCCGTTCTACATCCTCGTGTACGTCGACGACTTGGTCTTTGCCACAGCTGACACTGCTCGACTCGCCCACGTGAAGTCCGAGCTGCAGAAGAGACACACGTGCACAGACCAAGGTCAGCTGCGTAGCTACCTTGGCTTGCAGATCACCCGGGACAGAGCACGGCGCACCATTACCCTGACTCAGTCACACATGGTGCAGCAGGTCCTTCAGCGCTTCGGCTTCACGTACTCCTCACCTCAGGCCACTCCTCTGCCTACTCGCCACTCGCTCTCAGCTCTGCCTTCGGATGAGTCCGTAGAGTCGAGTGGCCCGTACCCAGAGCTTGTTGGCTGCGTCATGTACCTGATGACCTGCACTCGACCTGACCTTGCATACCCTCTTAGCATTCTCGCACGCTATGTTGCTCCTAGGAGACACAGATCGGAGCACATGGCTACAGCAAAGAGGGTGTTGCGCTACTTGTGAAGTACGTCAGGCATGGGGCTTGTGCTTGGAGGGCAGAGTCCAGTGGTTCTCACTGGGCACGCAGACGCTTCTTGGGCTGACGACCAGGCTACGCAGCGGTCGTCACAGGGTTACACCTTCAGCCTTGGTTCCGGCTCTGTTTCGTGGCGGGCTACCCGCTCGTCTTCTGTTCTCGGCTCCAGCTGTGAGGCTGAGATCTACGCCGGGGCCATGGCTGCACAGGAGCTTCGCTGGCTCACCTACCTGCTGACTGACCTCGGAGAGCCGCCTCGTTCTCCTCCAGTGCTGTACGTAGACAACAAGGCCATGCTGGCCTTGTGTCGAGAGCAGAGACTGGAGCACAGAACGAAGCACATTGCTCTTCGCTACTTCCTTGCTCGTGAGCTGCAGCAGCGTGGTCAGTTGCGTCTTGCGTACGTGGCCTCTGAGGCCAACACTGCTGATATCTTCACCAAGGCACTTGCGCCTTGTGATCATCGGCGCTTCTGTACTCAGCTTGGTCTTGTGCCTGTCTTGCCTCACTTGCTCACCTCTTGACCTTGCTTGTACTGTTACATATATATACACCTGCTCTTGCTTGTCTAGCTTTCTATATATATGTACTCATGCATGTGAACTGGCCTTGTGGCCTTGAACTTGTGCTCGGAATGTGTGGTGACTTTGTGATCCACCCTGAGCTTGCTTTGCTTTGCTTTGCTTGACTGGTCTTGTGACCGCTTGTACTCCCCCACTTTGCCTATGGGGGTGTGTCAGAACATTATAGCTTATGCTTTTGTGTAGGCTGTAGTGGGGTAGCCTATATTGGGTACAACCCAATTAGGGTTAGTACTTGTACCCAACTCTTTCATACTTCATTCATTCTCGTTCTTATTTTTCTCAAAAGGGGCCTAGACGGGGCCGAGGAGGGGCCTAAACGGGGCTGTAAGGGGCGAGACGGGGCCGCGAAGGGGCCTGAACGGGGCCGTAAAGGGGCCAGACGGGGCCGTAGAGGAGCCTAAGCGGGGCCGCAGAGGGGCTGAAACGGAGCCGCAAGGAGCCAGACGGGGTCGTGGAGGGACCTAGACGGGGCCGCGGAGGGGCCTAGACGGGGCCGCGGAGGGGCCGTAAGGGGCCTAGGCGGGGCCGTAAGGGGCGAGACGGGGCCGCGGAGTGGTCTAGACGGGGCCGCAAGGGGCCTAGACGGTGCCGCGGAGGGGTCGTAAGGGGCCTAGGCGGGGCCGTAAGGGCGGCGCGAGGGGCCTTAGAGGGCGGCGCGAGGGGCCGTAAGGGCGGCCAAAGGGGCCACTAAGGGCGGCTCGATGGTAGGTAGGGCACACGAAACGCGACTCGGGTAGGAGTGAAGCGCGCTCCGGGCAGGGAGAAAAAAATCGTGGTGGGCCCTAGGCAGCATTCCCACTCGGGAACTTGGTCGATACCATGATGAGAAACGAGAATGATTAAACTATGAAAGAGTTGGTTACAAATACTAACCCTAATTGGGTTGTACCCCTTGTGGGCTACCCCACTACAGCCTACACAAATGTATAAGCTATAATGTTTTGACACGAAACTCTGACATCGGACTGTCTGAATCACAAACGGACTGTCCGCCTGTCCGCGCACGCGATTGGCGGGCGAAATTGAATTTTAGCGGACCGCCTCGCCAAAACATGAAAAAATGCGACTCGGATGCAAAGATTGACATTGACCAATCACAACTAGCCATATTACAATACAAGAAGCCACGACATTGACCCACTACTCATCACTACTCACTTCTCTGCACAATGGATCCCTCTAGCTACGCCCAGAACACCCAGTCTGACAACACCACTCCTAACTCCCCGCAACCGGGCTTTATCAATACTACCACTCCTGCCACAGATGTTCCCGAAACACAAGAGTCCCAGATACCTGGTCCTTCTGACATTGAATGGGCTTGGTTTGGACGGCCTTTGTGTTTGTTTGACATTTCCTATGTTTGTCCGAAGCGCTGAACTCAACTGGCGAAAATTGCGATGGTTTGTGACTGGCGTTACTGATGTACATTTGAGATGGCGAAGGGAAAACCATCGCGAAACCCTAGCATGTGGAAAAAGTGTCACATCTGCCTTCGGACAGTCCGAAGTTGCAAACATTCAAATCGGACAGTCCGTTTTGTTATAAACGTACAGTCCGATTCCATATAATCGGACGGTACGTCAAAATCTAAAAATGCAAAATGGTTACGCGCCCTAAGTATTCGCTCATGCCTTCACTCATACTTAGTACTCCGAGCAATTCTCGCTACCTCGTTTTATTGCACCCGTAACAGGTAATAGGTTTTCTAAAGATTCAGTAAAACAGTGAGTAGATCAGACTGGTTTATATTCCCCTCTAGGTTGAACCTCGTTGAACCCCACTTACAACCACCTATGCCTACTCGCGACCTCCCCATCTGCAACTCCAAGAGCGTGCTTCACGCCACACCTTGTCGATCGTCCAGGAGCCGCCAGCAGTCAGCCGGCAGCAGTTGAGCAGACGAGGCGGGCGGCATGGGGCGGCCGAAGCAGAAGAAGGCGCAGCTGAAGCGCGCCACGCGGAAACCCAGGTGCGGCAGCGCGGAGCCCCGCGTGCGCGCGGGTTGCGCGGGCTCGCCTCGTGTGCCGCGGCAGTAGGGCGGTAGGGCAGTAGCGGCGGTAACGGCAGTAGCGGCAGCGGTCGCCTCTTACCTTAAATCTTAAAGTTTTTACTTCAGTAGACCTCGCGAGCGCGACGAGGAAATGCCCTTGCTGTTCTTCATCCCCCTCGCCTCCTCGTCGCTCGCGCGTTCTTTAAGATCCCCTTTCCATCTCCCCGCTCCCCCCTCCTCCCACACCTCCTCGTCTCTCCCTCCCCCCACCCTCTCCCCCCAACCCCCAACCCCCCGGCTCCCCCTTCCCGTTCCGCGCGCATCCGCTATCTCCGCGTACACGGCAGGCGCGGGGCCCACGAAGGCAATCCGCCGCTGCCGCTGGGCGGGGAGGACGGCAGCGCGGTGGGGGATGACGGCGGCGGCAGCAACGCGCTCGTCATCGCGCCCGCTGCGCCGTGCGCGCGGGGCAGCCGTTACCACGAGCCCTGCGAGGTGCGCTGGGCGGAGCAGCAGTGCTGCTAGGAGCACCGCGCCAGGGACCTCCTGCGCAGGTGGAAGGTTTTAGGCAGGCGGATGTTTCGAAACTGGCGGAGAGTTTTAGACATCCGGAGGGTTTTAGGCAGGGAGAGGGTTTTTTGGCAGGCGGAGGGTTTTAGGCAGGCAGGGGGGTTTCAGCAGGAGGAAGTCTTTTGCAGGAGGGGGAGGTATTATCAGGTGGGTTTTGGGCAGTTTGAGTAAGTGGAATGTATGTCGTTTCGTGACAACCATGACCTTTTGAGTGGAAAGCTCTCGGGGTGACTTTATAGTCGATGCAAAAGTCACTTGGTCCTAAGGTTTTGTGGGTGAAATGCATGCATGGCATGGCACTCCGTGAGTGAGCTCTATGGCCCCACCTTGCATATCACGGTTGCCTTTCTGCATTTCTCCCGCAGCGAGTGGACGGGGTCGAAGCTGAGCTGGCATCCGGCGCTGACGTGGCTGCTGACGTGGCGCTGGACAACGATGAGCTGGAGCTGGTGGACGACCGCAAGAAGCGGCGCAACAGCAAGCGCGTGCAGCGCAAGCTGCGCCGCATCCAGGTGACAATTTGTGGGGGAGGAAAAAGGAAAGGGGAGGGGGGGGCTTGGGGGGGGAAGGTGAAGGGGAGGGGGGAGGGGGGAGGGGGAAGGGGGAGGGGAAGGTTGGGGGGAAGGTAGGGGGCTGGGGCTGGGGGTCGGGGTGGAGGAGATGGGTTTGTAATTGTCAACGTGCTGTTGGGGGAAAGTGGGTTGGTTGGTTTGAGAGGTGGGGGAGAGGAAGTGGTGAGAATGTGTGTGAGAGAGGCGCGAGGTGCAGCAGCTGCAGGTGATGGCTGGTGAGGGGTGGTGAGAGGGGTGGTGAGAGGGGTGGTGAGAGGGGTGGTGAGAGGGGTGGTGAGAGGGGTGGTGAGAGGGGTGGTGAGAGGGGTGGTGAGGAATGGTGCATGCAGCCATTCCGTTCATTTAGGAATGCTCTATTTACCACATCCTCGTCCCTCTCACTGTGTTTCCCCTACCTCCCTGCACCTTCGTTCCTCCCCTACCCTGCCCTTGGTTTCCCCCCCTTTCCACTCTCATCTCATGGGTGGGGTGCGATGCATGGGTGGCATGGCATGGGGGGCATGGGGGGCATGGGGTGCATGTTGGGCATGGGGCGCGTGCGTGCATGGCAGGAGGAGAGGGAGAAGAAGATGAAGCGCAAGCAAGCCATCCACCTGCTGCAGTGAGTGCATCACTCACTCGTCCCTCACTGCTGCTGCAGTGAGTGCATCACTCACTCGTCCCTCACTGCTGCTGCAGTGAGTGCATCACTCACTCGTCCCTCACTGCTGCTGCAGTGAGTGCATCACTCACTCGTCCCTCACTGCTGCTGCAGTGAGTGCATCACTCACTCGTCCCTCACTGCTGCTGCAGTGAGTGCATCACTCACTCGTCCCTCACTGCTGCTGCAGTGAGTGCATCACTCACTCGTCCCTCACTGCTGCTGCAGTGAGTGCATCACTCACTCGTCCCTCACTGCTGCTGCAGTGAGTGCATCACTCACTCGTCCCTCACTGCTGCTGCAGTGAGTGCATTACTCACCCTTCCCTTGCCGCCCATGTCCATCTTCCCTTGCCGCCCATGTCCATCTTCCCAGCTTCCCCATTCCCCTCACTCCTTGTCCCTTGCTTCTCCCGTTTTCCCGTTTCTTGTTCCCCGCTCCCCCCCCTCCCTCCCATTTCGTCTTCACCGCTTCCTCCTTTCCCCCCATTCCAACTTCCCCGAGTCAAGTATGTTCCTCATCACCGTGCTGCTTCCTCATCATCACCATGCTGCGTTCTGCAGGATCCTGCGTAACTGGGTTACCGCACCGCATGATTTTTGAGACGTCTCGAAATCGTCTCTGTACACCTTGTTGGTTTCCCTGCACTATGAGCGCTCTTGTGTCCGCAGCGACGGCGGCGGGCAGGTGCATGTGTCATTTGAATGTACTTGCCACTGCTGCTGCCGCCGCCGCTGGCAGAGCACCCTGGGTGATTGTGCTGCTTGCCTGCCTGTTCGCCCCACTGCCTGTTCGCCCCACTGCCTGTTCGCCCCACTGCCTGTTCGCCCCACTGCCTGTTCGCCCCACTGCCTGTTCGCCCCACTGCCTGTTCGCCCCACTGCCTGCTCGCCCCACTGCCTGTTCGCCCCACTGCCTGCTCGCCCCACTGCCTGTTCGCCCCACTGCCTGCCCGCCCCACTGCCTGTTCGCCCCACTGCCTGTTCGCCCCACTGCCTGTTCGCCCCACTGCCTGTTCCTCTTGGCCCATTCCCCTTGCCACCCCCCATCCACCCTTCCCCATTGCGCCCCCAGGCAGCACGAGGCGTCGGCCACCGCACTGCATCTCATGGCACCCAGCAGCACATTGGGACAGGTGCGGGGAGGGTGGGGGGGCAGGAGAGATGAGAGGGGGACAGGGAATGGCAAGTGGAGGGCAGGGGAGGGCAGGGGGAGGGCAAGGGGAGGGCAAGGGGAGGGCAAGGGGAGGGCAAGGGGAGGGCAAGGGGAGGGCAAGGGGAGGGCAAGGGGAGGGCAAGCGGCAGGCAAGGGGAGGGCAAGGGGAGGGCAAGGGGAGGGCAAGGGGAGGGCAAGGGGAGGGCAAGGGGAGGGCAAGGGGAGGGCAAGGGGAGGGCAAGGGGAGGGCAAGGGGAGGGCAAGGGGAGGGCAATGGGAAGCGGAGAAGTGGGGGAGTGAGGTGAGGCAGTTGATGGGCGGAAGTGTGAGAGTAGCAGGTTGCACGAAGGTACTTAGTGTGTGCGTGCGTGTGTGCATGTGCGCCCCCGCCTCCCCCCTTTTCCTGTGCCCTCACCCCCTCTACTCTTCCCTGGCCCCCTCCTCTCCATCTTTTTTACTGCATATCCGCCCTCTCATACCTGTCCTCTTTACCCGCCTTCCCTTACCCTCCTTCCCTTACCCTCCTTCCCTTACCCTCCTTCCCTTACCCTCCTTCCCCTACCCGCCTTTCCTTACCCTCCTTCCCCTACCCGCCTTTCCTTACCCTCCTTCCCCTACCCGCCTCCCCCCACCCTGCTCCGTCCACCCTTTCCCCACCCTACCTGACCCTGCCCTAACCTCATCCCCAAGTGGCAGCGCAAGCAGGGCTGACCCCCCGGGATGGGTGGATTTGAGAAATCGTGGAAACCCTTCTTCCATTCTTTCCTACCCAACCCTCCTTCTCCCTCCCCACAAGCAGAGTGGCAGCAGCAAGCAGAGTGGCAGCAGCAAGCAGATGGTGCAGCGCGCCAAGCAGATGGTGCAGCGCGCCAAGCAGATGGTGCAGCGCGCCAAGCAGATGGTGCAGCGCGCCAAGCAGATGGTGCAGCGCGCCAAGCAGATGGTGCAGCGCGCCAAGCAGATGGTGCAGCGCGCCAAGCAGATGGTGCAGCGCGCCAAGGCGTTTGTAGAGGCAGGGCTGACCCCTCCTTTAACCCCCTTCCTCTTCTCCCCCCCTTTTCTGCCTCCCTTACACGCCACTATTTCCCAGCAGGGTGGCAGCAGCAAGCAGAAGGTTGAGCGCGCCAAGGCGTTTGTAGAGGCAGGGCTGACCCCCCCTGCTGCCCTGCAGGCTCTGCTGCTGCGGGAGAGACGGGCGGGGGGGCGAGGGAGGGAGAGTGAGGAGGAAAGTGAGGAAGGGGATGATGAGGATAGTGCGGATGAGAGGGTTGAAGGCTTGTTGGCGTGGAAGGATGAGAGGGGGAGGGCGAGGTGTGGGGGAAACGAGGGGGAAGAGAGTGGGGTGGGCGAGAGGAAAAAAGGGGCAGTAAAGGGAGGAAAGGAGGGGAGGGAAGGAGCAGTGAAGAGAGGAAAGTGTGTGGGGATGGAGGTGGAGATGAAAGAGATGGCTGCAGAGGGCATGGGAGGTGGGGACGGTGCGGATAAAGCGATGGCGACGGAAGTGAAGGGGGACACGAGTAGGGAGAGCAGTGGGGAGGAGGGAAGCAGAGAGGAGGGAAGCAGAGAGGAGGGAGAGGTTAGTGATAGCGATGATGGGGAGGAGGGAGAGGAGGGGAAGCAACAAGGTGAAGAGGTGGGGGACAGGAAAGTAGAGGAGAATCAGGGGTTGCTGGGCGAACAGGAGGGGCACCGAATGGAGGAGGTCAGGGATGACGTCATCAGCGCAGAGGAAGGAGAGCAGCAGCAGGCAGCAGAGAGCAAAGGAGCAGCAGAGGAGGCGGAGCAGAGAAAGCAGGGAAAAGAATTGGAAGGCAAGCCAGAGCAGGGAGGGGAGGGTGGTGGTCAAGGGGAGCAGGGAGGGCAGCAGGCGGGGCAGAGGGGAGGGAAGCTGTGGGTGCGGGTGGAGCGGCGGGAGGAGATAGAGGCACAGCGGGCGGGGCTGCCAGTGGTGGCAATGGAAGGCGAGGTGATGGAGGCGGTGGGGGGCAGCAACGCCGTGCTTGTGTGCGGCGAGACAGGGTCGGGGAAGACCACGCAAGTGCCACAGGTGAGTGCGGGTGTGTGGGGTGGGGAAGGGGAAATGCGTGGGTGGGGGGAGGAAGGGGAGGGTACATGCGGGCCTGCCCTGCCATCTCCGTGTGCAGTGGGATGGGGTCGGGCAGAACGACCCAAGTGCCGCAGGTGTGTGGCGGAGGGGCGTGTGGGTGGTTGAGGGGAGGTGGAGAGGGGGGTGCAGGGGTTATGGGGGCAAGCGGGGCGTGAGAGAAGGTCCTTTCTCTTAGACCCCTACCTCCTCCCCCCTCCCAGTTTCTCTTTGAGACAAGGTACGGCCCGTTCTTCCCGAAGAGAGCCGGTGGGAACGGCAGGTAGGAAATTTTCGTGCAAATCACTCCCTTCCTCTCCTTCTCTCCTCTGCCTCCGCTCTCCCTCACCTTCACTTTTTCCCCCCTCCCCCCCTGCCCCCCTTTTCTCCACTGCCCCAGTTTCTCTATGAAGCAGGGTACGGCTCGTCCCTCCCGGGCGGCACAACCGGCATGATTGCCGTCACTCAAGCAAGGAGAGTGGCAGTGCTAGCCACGGCCAGGCGTGAGTTTTGATATGCCTGTCCCCCTCCTTCCTCTCTTCCCCTCCCCTCCCCCTTCCCTCCCTGCCCCAGTTTCTGTACGAGGCGGGGTACGGCTCGTCCCTCCCGGGAGGCACACCCGGCATGATCGCCGTGACTCAGCCGAGGAGGGTGGCAGTGCTAGCAACGGCCAAGCGCATAGCGGATGAGATGGGAGTCACCGTGGGCAGGGAGGTGGGCTACCAGGTGCGTCTATACTTTGATTGACCTGAAACCATTTTTTCTCCAAATTAATTGTTGGTCACGTTCTCCCCTTACCTTGCTAGTCACTCTTTCTTGCTCCTCAAGTTTTTTTTTTATATGCATTGCTCCTCACATTTCCCTTTCCCTTGTTGTAATTCAATCCATTCTTAACGAACAACCGGTATCCTATGGTGGTGCGCTTTGGGGGTGCGTTCTGGGCCTCCTGCAGGTGCGGTACGACCGCCATGTGGCGGGCGGCACGGCCATTAAGATCATGACAGATGGCATCCTGCTGCGCGAGGTGCAAGCGGACCTGCTGTTGCGGCAGTACAGCGCGGTGGTGCTGGACGAGGCGCATGAGCGGAGCGTCAACACCGACATCCTCGTCGGGCTGCTCTCGCGCATCGTGCCCCTCCGCCAGGCACGTTGGGGGCAAAGGGGAGGGGGGTAGGGTGGGTGCTGCTCTGCTCTCCCGCATCGTGCCCCTCCGCCAGGCACGTTGGTGGTAACGAGGGGTGGGGGGGAGACGGGGGTAGAGGGGAAAAAAGGGAGGGGTGAAGGGAGAGGGCAAGGGAGGGTGGGGAGGATGGTCATTGCTCACAGTCGCCGGCCCAGGGCAAGGCTGTTTTCTTGCATCGTGCCGTTCCGCCAAGCATGTGGTGGGCCGGGGAGGTTGGGGGTGATTTTGAGTCCACTAAAACATCGACTACAAATTTGGGTGTGGGCGCAGGGCATAAAGGGACGGGGCACTGATTGTCTATTCTGTATGCAGCAATTGAGCAAAGCACAGCAGCCGCGCCCAGTCCCTGTATGCCGTGTATGGCCCTGTACGGCACTGTATGGCCCTGTATGCCCCTAGGGTTGAGAAAAAAAACGAACACCTGTTCGGTTCGCCTCGTTGCGTAAAGTGTTCGCCAAACAGTGTTCGAGGTTCGCCCGGACACGTTCGTGTTTGGGCCGCTGCTGCAATTTGCCCCGCGACGAACACGAACGTGTTCGAGGTTCCTCTGAACACGCCTTCACAGGCGAACGGCAACACCTGTTTTTGCTAAAAGTGTTCGCTGAACCAAACAGTGTTCGGTTCGGTAAACGCTGTGTTCGTGTAGGGGCGAACACGAACATGTTCGTGTTCGCCCCTTGCTCATCCCTATATGGCCCTGTATGGCCCTGTATGCCCTGTATGGCCCTCTCCATTCATGATTCATCCACAGTGCCTTGAGCACGGACACACACGAGTATTGGGTATGGATGAGTGCATGAAGAGATGAGAAACATACTGCACGTTGGATTCAGCAGGAGAGCACATAGAATCGTTTTCTCTTTGTGAGGTTGAAGAGAAAAAAAACCTTCAGCGGGAGAAGCTGGATTTCGTGGAGGAAGTTCAGTTTGAGGCGGGCGAGGATACAATGAGGAGAATCTCGAAAGTTCAAACTCTTGAGGTCAAAGGACATGGAGCTCTAGCGCGAAATGAGCAATTTTGGTCTTCAAGGAGCAAGAAATGACCACGCTGAGAGGCATGGTCAAGGATTTATCTCATCCACAGTTTGCTAAAGAACAATTGAAGGCTGCCAATCTTGAGATCAAGAACTTGCAAGATCAAGTGACCAAGCTGGTAGAGCATCTCGCCATGTTGGAAGTACAATTGACAACAAAGAGAAGATCGACTTATTAAAGCTTTGGATTGTTGTTACTTTAGCATGGATGGGCTTTTACAGGCAAACGATCACAAAAGCCGATCCATGCTAAAGTAATAACAATACAAAGTTTTGATCAGTCGGTCTTCTCTTTGTTGTCAGTTGTACTTCCAACATGGCGAGATGCTCTACCAGCTTGAATGTCCCAGTGGGTACCTTTGGTCTTAGTGGTCGCGGGTTCAACTCTCATCGACAGCACCTTCTCTTCTCATTATGCCGAACATGACACTCCCACACTCCACCACACTCACCCACAGTGAAGTGTGGTCACAGTTGGCATTGCCATCTGTCCACCCATCCCATACTCACCTTGTTGGCTCCTATGGTGTGCCACATGCTGCCATGTAGGCTGTTGTTCCAGCCTGGCCCACATGTGCAACATGTGGCCTCAATTGCTAGCTTGGCAAGGTTGGCTAGCCCTGCCCTCAGCTTTGAGGTGCTGCAGCTAGCCTCAAGAGTTCAGCCACATAAATGTGGCTTCCCACTTCTCTAGAACTCATCCTTGGAAAGGACATTGCTCTAGCCTTTCAGGCTTGTACCATCTTCCTACTAAGGATATATTGTTCTTCTCTCATTGTGCCTCAAGTTCACCGATCCTCATTCTACATGCTATCAGAGCAAGGCTTCTAGCTTAGTGAACGTTGCACACTTCATGGCTCAAGTTGAAACGCCTCTCGGTCGGCACACCCTTCCCATCTTGGAACCAGATGGTTCCAACTTCATTCCATGGAAGAAAAAGATCTGCTACATCTTCATTGTCCTCGGGCTGATCTCCCTCCTTGGAGATCCCAAGGTTGCTTCGCGTCCTTCAATCTCCTCTTCCACAACCAGCGGTGGAGAGACTACCGAAGGCAACAGCGGTGCAGCCCCTAAGACAGCCCATTCGATTGCTTCGCTGCCGGATGAAGAAAAAGAGGAGCATGCATACTATCTTCTCATGTCAGCCGTCCATCCTCAACTATCGCTCACTCTTGCTCAAGCCAACACGACAAAGGATATGTGGGGATGCATCATGGCGCGGTTCGACTGCATGGGCAACCATGCACAAGTGGCTCTCCTCCGGGATCTCATCACTACACGGATGGACCCAACAACAAGTCTTCGCTCTTACTTTGATCGAGTTGGAAACCTTACACACCAACTCAAATCTGCCGGCTTTGAGCTACCATCATGGGTGGTGGTAATCTCCATCATCCTCAACCTTCCGGACTCGTTCAAGACCCTTACTGAAACCATTTGCACCGTGAAAGACATAAAGTCTATGACGGTTGAATACCTACAGTCACGCCTACTCGATGCCGATTGGGAGCGGTCACAATCTGGTACAAGCCGTAACATGGAGGGTGCATACAACCTCAATTCCACAGCCCCACTCCAACTCACTCACTCAGATATTGCTGGACCGCTTTCATATGGAACTACCATTGGCGGCGCTCGCTACCTTCTCACCTTCATCGACGACTACTCCCGCCACATTACAGTGTATCTCCTACGCCACCGGTCGGAGGCACTTTCATGCTTCAAGGCTTACGTCACTCGGGTGCACAACATGCATTCCCCACACACCATCAAAACCTTTCGCTCTGACGGTGCCTTGGAGTTCACTTCCAAAGCCTTCACTTCATTCCTTACAGCTCGTGGCATCGCCCGCCACCTCTCCACGCCATACACACCTGAGCAAAATGGAGTAGCTGAGCGGGCCAACCGGACTTTACTTGAGATGGTCCGTTCCATGCTCCATGATGCACACATGGACAAAGGCTGGTGGGGTGAAGCCGCTCTTACTGCTGCCTATCTTCGTAATCATGCCATTAGTCGGGGTGGTTCAACTTCTAAGACTCCCATGGAACTATGGACCGGTGCACGTCCGGATGTATCACACCTCCGCATCTTCGGTTCACCCGTCTCGGTCCTCATTCCTTCCCAACGGCGTTCTAAGCTCGACGACCGAAGCACGGCCGGCATCATGGTTGGATATGGTCATCTCGACGGCACCAAAGCTTACCGCATCTATATCCCGTCTCAGCACCGTGTCATCCTTTCTCGTGATGTCATCTTCATGGAGCCCTCTACACCGCCTTCCGACGACTCTCGCGACCCTCCATCGTCATCTCCACCCACATCCTCCTCACTACCTCCTCCTACACACCCTTCTTCCTTGGACCCAATCTCCCCTCCCTCTCCTTCCCCCACCATACCTTCCTCCACCAACCCCCACCCACAATCCCCAAACCTGCCCGCACCAGCCACATCTTCTCCTCCTCCATTGTTTTCCAACCTTCCTCTGCCCTCGACGCCGCAAGACTTTCACCTTCCATCCTTCTCTCCTCCCTCTTCGCCTCCCCCTCCCCATTGCACGACTCGCTCCTCCCCGCCATCCCCTTCAGCTCTTCCCGATCCTTCCCTTTTCTCCTTCCTCAAGGTCTTACCATCCCCTTCCGAACCCATTGACTTCACTCTTCCTCCTCTTTCCAACACCTCTGCCAATGCTGCCCTTCACCATCATTACGAACCTCAAACCATTCATGAGGCTCGTACCGGCCCTGATGCTGCCGAATGGATCAAGGCTGCTGATGCGGAACTCGCTGCCCTGCACGCTAATGACACCTACAGCATTGTTCCTCGACCACCCAAGTGCAAGCCGATTCCATGCAAATGGATTTTCAAGGTCAAGGAGAACGCTGATGGTTCTATTGAACGCCGCAAAGCCCGCCTTGTTGTCAAAGGCTTCAAGCAACGTGATGGTGTTGATTTTCATGACACCTTTGCTCCTACCGTCCGCTTCGCCACCCTCCGCTTGTTTCTCACCATAGCTGCCGCTTTCAACCTGGACGTCCATCAGCTGGACATCTCCAACGCCTTCCTCAACGGCACCCTTGATGAGATTCTCTACATGATGCAGCCTCCCGGTTATGACCTTCCGGCGGTCCATGGTGTTGAGCAAGTTTGTCTCTTGCACAAACCGCTGTACGGGTTGAAGCAAGCTCCGCGATGCTGGTACCGCAAGCTTCGTGAGGAGCTTGCTGCCTTTCACCTCTTTGCTGCTCGTGCGGACCCCGGCCTCTTCATTGCTCCTCCTCACTCACCTTATCGGCCTACAGCTGCATCCTTCTTCATGCTTCTCGTCTATGTTGACGACCTCATCATTCTCTCCTCCTCCTCCTCTCTTCTTGCCTCATTCAAGCATGCCCTTTCATCTCGCTTCAAACTTCGTGACCTCGGACCTCTCTCCTACTACCTTGGCTTTCACATCACTCGTGATCGAACTTCCCGCACTCTCCACCTTCATCAATCCAAATTCATCACCTCCATTCTAGACACCTACTCCTTCTCTCCACTGAACCCCGCTGCCACTCCCATGGACACAAAGTTTCAGCCACCCGTGACTTCCTCCCCGCACTCCTCCTCCTTCCCTTACACCTCGTTTGTCGGCTCCATCATGTATGCCATGGTGGGGACCCGTCCCGACCTCGCATATAGCGCTGGAGTTCTTGCTCGTCACCTTCACGATTGGTCTACTCCTCACGTCTCGGCTGCCAAACGCATTGCTCGCTACTTGAAAGGGACTACCTCCCTTGGGCTTCTCCTTGGTGGCATTCCCGACACCCTCGAACTTCATGGCTGGTGTGACGCCTCTTGGGGACCGGAGGGGGAGCTGCGTCGCTCCGTTACGTGCTACTTATTCTTCCTCGGTCCGTCACTCATCTCTTGGCAGTCCAAACGCCAAGCCGTCGTTGCTACCTCTTCATGTGAAGCT